ATGTTCAATGCAATCCCAAATCAGACTCCTGGCTCAGTCTTCAAAGAGATAGAAAAGGCAATTTTCAGGTTTATTTGGAAAGAGATCCCAAATAAGCAAATCTCTTCTGAAAAATAAAAATGAAGTGGAATGTATAGCATTCCCTGATCTCAAACATACTACAAAGCTGCAGCAACCAAAACAGCACAATACTGGTGTAATGACAGACACAAAGGCCAATGGAATAGAACAGAAAACTCAGAAATGAACCCACCTACGACATTCTTCTTCATGGAGTCCAGCTTCTCAAATTATTTGTTCAGCTTACAGATTGTATAAGTGTTTCCACTTATACAACCCTGATCCACACCTTTCTTCATTTTAAACCATGCAGTATTCCTCTGATTCTTTTGAACAACTGCTTCTTGGTCTAGATATAGGTTTTGTATGAGCATAATTAAGTGTTCTGGGATTCCCATTCTTTTCAATGTTAATCATAGTTTGTTATGATTTACACTAGCATATGCCTTGACATAGTCAATAAAATGCAAATAGGCATTCTTCTGGTATGCTCTGCTTTCAGCCAGGATCCAACTGACATCTGCAATGATATCCCTAGTACAATGACCTCTTCTAAACTCATCTTGAACTTCTGACAGTTCTCTATCAATGTACTTGCTAGCTGTTTAAATGATCTAGGAAGCATCAACAGAAGATAGAAGAAGACATAGAATCATTGGTTGACACTGAAAATTTCAGATAGTACCATATTAACTAAAATCAATGGCAATAAAGAAGCTACACACAAGGCGTTGGTTAAAAATAAAACCTCAAGAATTGATGGAAAACCAACTGACATGTTTTAACTAACAGATGCAGCCCTGGACATGCTCACCAATATATGCCAGGAAATCTGGAAGAGGACTGCTGGACTCACTAACTAGAAGAGATTCATATTTGTTCCCATTCCCAAGAAAAGTGATCCAACAAAATACAGTAATTAGCCAAGACCAAACTGACCTCGCACTGTTTCACACTGACAACACCTGAATTTTTGTAGCTTTTCTTCTTCTGCCTCTTCTTCTCATTTATGCATTCAAACTCTATCTGCACAGAGACAGAATAAAATGTTAATTTTTACAAGCAATGTTAGAAATATCAAAATCGACTTAGATGAATGGCTTATTTTCACTTGGAATCAAATCAGCTCTTGCTGTAAGTGTTCTCCAAAGTCAAACTCTAAAATAATTGCATAATAATATATTACATATGTGACATATTTATCAATTAACAGTCTAATAATTAAAGCACCTGCAGCATTAGCCTCAAGTTGGCTTCTTATAGCCATTACAGTTAGCCCCCCTCTGGTCACCAACTACCTTAACTGCAGACACATGGTCTTGCAAATTATCAATAGCTGTGGACCTAGGATAAGAGAGAAAGAGTGCTTCCCACAGTGAAGAGCAATATTCACAGTAGGAAGACTCACAGTAGCAAGACTTGAGGGAGAATGGACACATCCTGGTGAGAGAAAGACCAGTGGCAAGACATCGGTGATAGTAGTGGTAGAGAGACTGTGGTACTGCTGTGGACAAACTGTAGCAAGGTATAAGCAGAGGAGCCCTGAGACAAAAGCCACAGTTAAAGGTTTTGCTATTCTTCCCTGATAATTAAGGAGAAGCTGACTTATAACTGCTTTGAAGAAAATCTTACTGGATGGCTTGGATTTGACTGCTGCACTGAAACCAGAGCCTGAGGAATTGTGCCTTGGAAAGTGGGCTAAAACCTAGACTTGTCATGGGTGATAGTCTTTCCTCTCCCACTTTCCAACTTACTTTTTTAATAAACCCCATTCTCAGTATGACAACTATAAGTAAAGCCTAAGCGTCAACAATGAATAAACAAAAACTCTTCCTGTTGGTGTGGCTCTGGAGGCATCATGGGATTGGGCTCTAGGCTCTCTATCCGCTTTCTGCTCTGGGGCAATGAGAGGCTTTCCTAATCTCACTCTTTCTGCACCTCTCCAAAAGACGCTCACAGCCTTGTGCCCCAATGTCTCATTTTGTGCTCTCTAGAGAGCTCCCATCAAATTATATTTAAAAGTTCCCAAATATAAAATCTTCCCTCTGTTATTGTGTTGTTGTTATGCGCCATCGAGTCGCCTGCGACTCATAGCGACCCTATGTACAACAGCCCTAAACTCCACTCTGTCCTGTGCCAATCGCACTGTCTCTGACACTCCCATCCCAATTATCCCAGTCACTGAATCAATCCACCTCATAGAGGGCCTTCCTCCCCTGCGCCGTCCCTCCACCCTCCCAAGCATGATGTCCCTCTCTAAGGACCGGTCTCTCCTCATAACATGTCCAAAGTAAGTTAGACGGAGCCTCAGAATCCTTGCCTCCAAGGAGCCACCTGGTTTAACCCTCTCCAGGACAAATCTGTTTGTTTTCCTAGCAGTCCATGGTATTCTCAATACTCTTCTCCAGCACTACAGCTCAAAGGCATCAATTCTCCTTCTATCCTCCTTGGTCATTGTCCAACTCTCTGATGCATAACAGGTGATTGCGAAGACCATGGCCTGTATCAGACACACCTTAGTCTCCAGAGAGACAGTATTCCTATAAATGTTCAAAGTATAACCTCTCCTCTTTATAATATAGGACATATAGCATTATTTCTAGTTGTAATCACTACAAAGAAAAACGCACAGTTTAGAAATCGAGGAAAAAAAATCAACTCAAAAATAGAAGACTCAACTCTATGGCAAATTATGCATCAAAGATCATCACTTTCCACAGGAAATATGGTTTAAGAATAAATCTAAAGACACTGAGTTCAAATCCACAAGATGCTCCGTTGGAGAAGAAGGGGCTGCAACCATGGGCTCAACTATAGCAATGATTGTGAAGATTTTGCAAGACTTCTCTGTTTTTATTCTGTTATACATAGGGTCACTTTGAGCCAGAACTCACTTGACAGCACCTAACACTAAAAGTATTTAATAACTAATCTTGTATGACCCAAATGTTGGTAAGATCCTGCACTCTGAATATAACCTTTGTTACATTGTTGAATATAATTTTGTTTTATAAATGACTCTGACTGAAATGTAGTATTTCATGTTTTGATTCTTTGAAAGTTACTGATAGTGTAAATTGCCTAAGTTAATTTCTGCTAACCAGAAGAGGCTGCAGCCACTTTGTCAATCCATCTCATTGAGGATCTTCTTTGCTGACCTTCTACTATTAAGCATCAGATGCAGATAAACAAAGCAAAATTATCATTGATAAAAAACAGATGCAAATAAAAACAATGAGGAGCTATATCATCTCATCCTAGCAATAACAGCAAAGTTCAATATAAACAAGAAGTGCAGCAAAATTATGAAGACAGTCACATACACTGCTTGTAGAAATGTAAAACAGTGTAACTTCTATGGAAAACAGTTTGACGTTCCCAGAAAATATAATTTAATCTAACAATCCCACTACTAGGCTTATGTCCTAAAGACATAAAAGAGCTGCAACATGAACAGTATGCAACTTATGTTCGCTGTAGTATTATTTATAATAGCAAAGAGATGGAAACAACTCAAGACTATCAACGGATGACCATAATTAAAGAAATTATGGTACAAAGGGAGAAAAAAGAAACTATGGTACAGTCACACAATAGAGTGCTAAGCAACATTAAAGAACTTTAAAGAACAATAAAGAATTTAATAGAAATGCTGCATAATATCAGTGAATCTAGAGGAATTATGATATGTGAAGTAAGTCAGAAAAGAATAAATATTGTACAAGACTGCTATTATAAGAATCTAAGTAAAGGTTTAAACACAGAATCATTCTTAAATGGTTAGGGTAGAAGGGATGGGAAGGGAGGAGTAGAGAGTCAAAATTAGTAATTGTGTGAAAGACATGTTAAGATGGGTAAAAAGAAAGGAAATACGCAATAAAGGCATGATCAGCATAGTATCACTAAAGAAAAGGAAGACAGAAAAGTGTGGGAGAATTAATGGAAATAAAAATTGCAAGAAGGAAGTTGAAGGAAAGTGATATACGTATTGTAAGAAATGTTAGAGAGCACAATGAGTATGAATAGTTGAAATAAAAGTTTGTTCTGTGAACTTACAAACAATTTAGAAGATGTTGGATTACTTTATCAATCACTCATTTACCAAGCATCTACCAAGTGGCAGGTACTCTACAATTAACTGAAAACACAAAAATGATATGAAACGCCTTTGTCCCTGAAGAATAATGGCCTCTTCAATCAAAGAGGGAAAGAAGAACCAAGCTGTTACACTTAAGTTTATGTGAACCATAAAAATTTTTTAAAAGCATACAACTTTTAAGTTAGTATCATCTTCTATAAACAGGTCACTTACTAAATCTGGAAAACACCCTGAAATAAGCGGGCAGGGAGGTGAGAGTCAGGCCACTTCTCTATCTACAGTTGTTTAGGTTAGCTTGCTTTTAAATATTTAGATGGCTAGTACCTACCTATAGCACTTTCCTCAAGGGACAAAAAATCTTAATGAAATATTTACATTTGATTTTTGCTGCTGTTTTAATTCTAACATTAATAAATCAACACCAATTTAATCCTTACACTGAAACTGCAAGGAGTGACTTAAAAAGTATTTTCCACTTTATCTAACCATGAATGTACATGATATTCCTTATACTTGGCTTCATAAGCAGGGAGTAGGGACAGAAGCAGAGATCACTCCATTGACCTTCTGAAAAATTTAGCCTTACAATACTTGCCTGAACATTTCCATTACTCCACCATTTAAATCAAATGATTTAAATATCTAATTTGGTTTTCAGTGTTGATCTTCTGTAACTGCTGTGTGCTGTCAAGTTGGAACCAACCCACAATGGACCCTCCAGCGGATGGTTCAGAGGCAGTGAACTGCATGGGAAGAGAGTGCTTATCCTTCCCCTGTGGAACATGTGGTGGATCTGAACTGTGTGCCTTTGTGACTACAGCACAGCTTCTTACCACTAGGGCACCAGAGCTCTCAAATGCTGATCTAAAATCATCTTTTTTTCCCAAGTCACCTCAGTTAGACTACTAGACAAAAAGACATTCTCACCTGGCCATAACCTCTCAGTGTCTTTTTACTGTTGAAATTGGAAATATTATCCAGATGAGCATTAATCAAGCCCCTAAGTAGTTATTAAACTATTCCTAGCATTCTGTTAGGTGTAAACTGAAAAGATAACTAACAACATACCTCATGCCAACTTGAAAAATAAGTAAGACGGAGGTGATTTTTATATTTTACTTATTAAACACTCTGAAATAGTCTTTCACCACATGGGCTTCAACAAAGAAAGGTTCAGAGCATCCTTAGAAATCTGAAGGCAAGCTAAATAATAAACTGACTGAGGGAAACGCAAACAAATGATCTTAACCAAATCAGTGTTCATTAGAAATGGTAGCTTACTAAAGAAATCATCTGAGGTACTGTGAGGTACTTTCCCTTGGGCTAGGACAAGTCAGAGGATAAAGAAAGAGACGAGAAAGGAACATAAAAACCTTAAGCCCAGGGATTTGTCTTGTGCTATAAATACTATTTATGGTTATTTGTCTTCAAAAATCTTCAAACTATTCAAACTAATTCAGTAAAACCAAGTATGTTAGTTTTAAGTCAAGGAAATCAAATCCCTAAAAATAAATGCAAATTTATACCTCAAGTACAAATTTCAAATTACTTAATGTCTAAAGTTCTAAACATACAAACCTCACAGGCTTAATAGTGCTACAAGCAATATAGACTAGAAATATGAAAACAATGTTTGCTATACCAAAACTCAAAATTCAATACTGTCAAGTAGGAACCAACTCGTAGCTGATCCTCTGGCAGGTTTTCAGAGGCTGAGACTCACATGGGTAGAGATTACCAACATTTTCTCCTGCAGAGCAACTGGTCAATTCAAGCTGTCTGCCTTTGGGCTGCCAGTGCAGCTCCATTCCCACTAGATCACCAGAGCTCTGTGCTGTACCAACAAGGGAGAAATAAATGAATAAATGCAAAGCCAAAGCACAAAAGATGTGCAAATGGCGACGAGAACACTTACAGGTGAGCTTCTGGAGGCGTCCTTCAGTTTGGTCATGGTGGTTTGAAATGTTCCAATGAGATCATGTGACCCATCATTGTCATAATCATAACACTCTACCTGGAAATAAAAAATTCCTCAAAATCAACAAATTTTAGGTTCAGTTACAAGAAATGGAACCCGTAAGAAGTTCATATGTGATACTGACTTAGAGAAGTAGACACTGATTTCCTAGTGAAGTAGGAGATAATTTCAAACCTCAGTTAGCCTCTGAATGAGGTTTTAGGATCAACTGCAAGCATACTGAAAACACAAATACTTTTTAAATTCCACATTAAGCAATTTCTGGCTCCTCTATTACACCCTTTGTAGGTGGTGATAAAGGGCAAAATGGAATTGTACCTTCTTTCTCATCCTTTTATTTGTATTTTTCTGACTATACAATGACTATTATTATGGCTGTTATCTAGAAAATGAAAGAAAGTCAGAATTCTATGGAGTTAAAAGTTTTATAACTTAATGGTAGACAATCTACAAGTAGGGAAAATATGTTCCATATGCTGCAATCTAGGGACACTTGACTTAGATTAGGAGTTAGATAATAATGCAATCTGAAGGATTCTGGGGATCACAACACTCAGGGAAAGAGTATTTAACTCATTGTGTAACTATCTAGACAGTTGTATTTACTCTATGTCCACATTAAGTGCTCTCTCTCTGAAAGGAGATAGAATAGAGAGAATACTAAATTTGCATGTGTTTTTGTGTCGGTTAACAGATATAGAGCCAGTCACAAAAGACTAGAATATTCACTACAAGGGGAAATATTAGGTGGTGTGAACAATTAGCTAGCAGAGATGTTCAGGGGAAGCTGAAAAATGAACAAAATTGTGATCATTCAATAACCAACACTGTTACATTACATTTCATTTCTGTAAATAATGACAATGCATATTGTGCATGGTCTCCAAATAGCCTTATGAGGTGAGCAGACAGGAATCCTGTTACTATTATTCCCATTTTTCAAAATTAAGATTTAGAGAAACTGAACACCTTGGAAGATAGTGCGTCCTGTGTGGTAGCCCACAGAGGGAAAGTAAAGTTGTGCTGAGGACATTTTCAAGTTCTTTCAAATTCTATGCTTTAAAAGCCTATATTGAAAAGTAATTTGAATTTACTCTCAGTTAATAGATACTACCACCTTGCTATTATCTTTCACAAAGATCCATTAAATAACAAAGCAATGAGGAGTTGCATTGCCAACTCAAAAGCAAGCAGTTCAAATCTACCAACTGCTCTTTGAGAGAAAGACAGGCAATCTCATTTCATGTGATTTACAGCCTTTGAAGACAGGCTGGTAGATCAGCTATGAGTCCATTCTGACCTGACAGCAATGAATAATATATTCAAGATTTTCATATATGCATTTAACAAAGAGATTTTTTTTCTCCTTCTCACTTGAGTTAACTCAAAGTTTTCCGTAACAGAAGTCTGTTACATATTACTGTTACGTTCATTATTCAAGAAGAGCAAAAAGCAATCCATTATTAGAAACTTGTGCATCCAGAACAGTAACTGGGAATAGCAGTAAGAGGTTTTAGTTGTTTGGGGTTTTTTTAATTTGTCCAAAGAAATTATCTGCAAGGCACTTTGGTCATGGACCATTTCTGACAGGCTTCTGTCCTTCATATTCATTACTTAAACCAAAAGCTTTTTATCTGTCTTAAAGAAAAAAAATTAAAAATTATTATCATTTTTTCTAGGCGATCAAAAACAGATAGTATGTAAAATATCTTAATGTTATAATAATTTCATATTTCAAAGAGACGTTTCAGCTATTGAAAACTGAATGCTACATTTCAGATCTGCATTTACAAAAATTAGATTTATATCTAAGATAAAAATCAAACTTTGATAAAATATTTTATTTAAACTAAGTTCAAGAAGGACTGGTTAAATTTGTTCACATGCTGAGATTGACTGAAACATTAAGCAATGTAACAAACATTTTTCAATGAAACTTTCCAATTAAAGTCATAGGGAAAGCTCCTTATTGCCCCATGAAGGCAAATACTTCTTGCTAAAGAAAGTGTACCATTTATAATTCTGGCATATATTGATATACCCTTTGGGGTAAGAAAAAGATATATATAATGACCTGTGTCACTTATTTTTCTCTTCCTCAAGAATTCAATGACAATTACTTATTGGCTGTTTAAAAATTAGTTGATAGCAATGCTTGTGAAATTTAAATATGTGCATATATACATAAGCAGATATGTATATATGCAAAAAAAAACACACACTCCACAATACTACATTCATTAAGGCATTCCCATTTTAGGAAAGGTGACAGCATGCATGGTTACTTCACTTATGCACTTGAACTTAGGGAATAATACATGCTAGAGTAGTAGCACTGACATCTTAATATTACAACAAATAAATTACCATGATTCTAACTGTACCCTCTTTTCTAGAACTCTTTACTACACCTCTAGCAATTTTCAAACATGGAGAAGCACAGACATATGAATTTTTTATACTGTGAAGAAATACAGAAGTAAAGAAATAAAGTCAGTGATGGTATGACAAACCAAATTGTATATATTCAAAATCAAACTGAGAAACTTTAAAAAAATGGAAGGCAATCATCAGAAAAAGCTCAGGAAATCAGTTTACTTACTATAATAAAATTGCCCTGTAAGCATAACACTGTGAGCAAAAAAAAAATACTTTTAAACATTTGTTTCATTGTTAATATATCATTATCAAGACTCAAATAATTACGGCATAGGCATTTCTCCCTTAACTTTTCCTGCCTTCTCAGGTCAAATGAAGTTTCAATTTACTGCTTTTAATGTCAGAAGCAAACGTTCTAGACTTGGCATAAAAATAAAGAGTAAGTTCTAAAGATCTTTTCTAATTATTTTGTATCTAGATTTCAATTATTATCTGACATATCATACAAACCATGCTTATGTTGATTTTTAAAGTTCTCTAACAACTGAGGTTAAATTTTCAAAAATCAAAAGAAAGGAAACCATTTTTAGCAACACTACTATCAGTAGCTTATTAACAATTACAAAACTTCCACTTTCCCTCCCCTTCCTTTTTGTTAAGACAGGCATTATCATCACCACTACATGAGTCAAGACGTGGGATGACCTGATCCAGATTTCTTCACTGGTTAAAGAGTTAAGGCAAATACCATGCTTATTCCATGATATCAATTATGCTACTTTTACTTTATTAAACACTAAGAAAACACATGTGGGAGGGGTGGGGGGAAATCCACCACAAAATTCTGTTGATCTATCATCTTTTAAAAACAAAAAAGTTTATCTGGAATCATATAAAGGTAATGCCTCTAGTTTCTAGTATAACAATGTTTTTAGCTACTTGGGAAACAGAAGAATAGCAAATTATCTGCTGCATCTTATGTCCTAACTTCTTTGCAACTTCTCTAGCACTTTAAAACTAATACCTAAAATTCTCAGTGACTTGTATCTCACTGTGAAAAGAAGAGTAGAAATGCCACCACTATTACTCTATCTTGCAGAAGGTAGAAAAAAGTTCTGCATACTTAAGAGTAACATCTGCTTTTATCTGCAATAGGTAGTTAAAGGTTCCCACTTGCAAAGAAAAAAAGAATCATTAAAATTAGACATTATTTTAAAATATTGGAAAATAGAATCAAATCACAGTATTTGGTTAGATTAGGTCACAGTTAGTTAAAATTAGTATTTTACTTACCAGAAAATATTTTTATATTAGCAATCCTAGATATGAATAAAATTACATATATCTGTAGTATCATTAATATTCTTTACAGGGTATCAATTAATTTTTCAATAAGGTTATTGTGTGTGTGTGCATACATGTATACTATGTATAATTATTAGGCTTTAATAATATCTATGTAATTTACAATTACCTTAATGATTTTGTCCATGTCTCCATAGCAGAGGGAGTTAAGAGAGATTTTAAAAGGCCTCCATACAGGATTCAAGTTATTTTTAATGACCTATTAAAATGGAATTCCAAAGACTCATTAGGAAAATATTTAGTTCATTAGTATTTTGTTACGTTTCTATATCCTCACACAATTCATCTCTCACCCCTGCTTGCATTTAACTTTTTCAAAATGAAATCTAGTTAAGACTGTGTTAAACAGCTGTTCTATGGGAAAAAAAAACCAAAAAAACTCAAAACAATGTAACTGTCCAGTTCTGGTATAACCCAAAGAAAAGAAATTATATGAACAATATACACATTCATTACAAGGTATATTTAGAAAGCTACTGGAAATTACTATAAACTATTAAAGCTTCATAGGTTCACAAAGAGATATGAAGCTGAAAGAGAAGTAAAAATAGAGGAACAGAAATATGCACAAATACACTTCATTTATCCAGCTGCATGTATGCAAACAAATAATCTGTGTTTACTGTTACTTTAAAAGGTATTGACTTAAATTCTATCTCTTTGAAAACTTTCACCAAAATAACAACTAAAGTTAGTAAAGTAGTGAAATAACGAAGAGAACAGCAACAAAGCAACACTGAAACTACACTGTGTCTTTAGTAGGAAAATGGTATTTTTACTTTGTTGGAAACCAAGGTTTTCATTGCAGGGAACAGAAGATGCAAATGTGCAACGAGATAAAATGAGAAAGAACCTTGGTGCAGTGGTCTTGAACTTGAGAATTTCTTAATTCATAATTTAAAACTGTAACATGTAAAGACATACACAATAAATGGATGGAGACATTTCCCTGTGGTATCCACTGAAAAGACTAAAAAGCAATGCCAATATCCAGATGTTTGTGTCTAAATATTATTCCTAAAAGAAAATTGTTCCCTAAAGAAATTACTTGTTCTAGATCTGGGACTGGGAAAGTACAATGAATGAAGATTATACTTGAATATGAAGAAAATGCTTCAATATTAATGGGGCATGTTAAAAGAACTCAAGTTATTTGAAGAAGTTCCTTTTGATAAAATTTGTATTCATTTGAGCAGTGAAAATAATAATTATAACAAATAAACAAAAATCCATAAATTTACAATGAAAAAAATAGAAAAGAGAGAAGGAAGAGGTTAGGAACAACTGATAATATGTGGAAGAGAGGAAATAAATCATAATTTGACAAGCATCCACAAAGTAACTGATTCAGGCATGGATCATCACTTGATGCTATTATCACTGGATGAGAGATTAGGGAGGAAAATGTGCAACAATAAATGAATGAAAATAAAAATATCACTGGGTAAAATGTTGGAGGGTAGATTATTCACTCACTTTCCATGTATCACACAATCAACCACTTATTTACTACAAAAGGAAAAGTCACACCCATGTTTATTGCAGCTATGTTCACAAGAGCAAGGAGCTGGAAACAACCTAAGTGCCCATCAACAAAC